AGTTGAAAATAGGCAGAAACGTGCATCTACTGAAATACAGAAGAAGAGCGAATAGAATAAACTATGTTTTTTCGCCGAACGAAAGAATGATGTTGTGTTGCAGCCGCTTGTCAGTACTCCATACTCAAGAGCATTTGAGATGGCTCACAACATTGCCGTTAGAAGAACATTGTTTTTGCCTGAGTCTTTCGGGATTCATTGTGCTTGCGATATAATTGGCCGCTGAAAGATATCCTTTTTCACTGTGTTTGTGGAAGAACTTTCTCAGATGAGCATTGCTTGTCTTGTCCTGCTGAAGGCTTCCCAGCTATTAGGCATAATGATTTAAGAGACATACCAGCAGAAATGTTGAGTTAAATTTGCTCTAATGCTGAAGTCGAGTATCACTGGTAGAGTATCAGCGAGAGAGATTGAAAGATCTGAGCTAGAGCTTACGGCCAGACTGGGCGGCTTGACTATCATCAATCTAAAAACAGACGCCGCTCAGAAATTCAAATCTTCCGAGAAACTATGTAAATCTCTTATTGAGAAACTTTGTCAAGTGATACTGATTAAGACTGAGTTGCAAGTAGGCAGAAACGTGCATCTACTGAAATACAGAAGAAGAGCGAATAGAACAAACTATGTTTTTTCGCCGAACGAAAGAATGATGTTGTGTTGCAGCGCTTGTCAGTACTCCATACTCAAGAGCATTTGAGCTGGCTCACAACGTTGCCGTTAGAAGAACATGGTTTTTGCCTGAGTTTTTCGGGATGCATTGTGCTTGCGATATAATTGGCCGCTGAAAGATATCCCTTTTCACTGTGTTTGTGGAAAAACTTTCTCAGATGAGCATGGCTTGTCTTGTCCTGCTGAAGGCTTCCCAGCTATTAGACATAATGATATAAGAGACATACCAGCAGAAATGTTGAGTAAAGTTTGCTCTAATGCTGAAGTCGAGCCGGATTTAGAAAGTTATCTTGCGAGATTTTGGCTTCAAGAACATCAATAAAGGCGACGAAGGGCGTCTTGATATTTCAGCCAATGGAGTCTGGGTAGGCAGATTTGTGAAGGCATTCATCGATGTATGAGTATTCAATCCTTGCGCCAAATCAAATTCTGGTACTCTGCCACGTGTATAGAGGAAGCACGAAGTGGAAAAAAGTGATGCTATGAGCAAAGTATCAGCGAAGTTGAACATAGTTTTTTCTTATGTCTTATTGTTTCGTGCACGCGAAGCATGGGCAAATTTGCAACCATGTTTTACAAAAGACTTGCTTCGATGATTAGTGAGAAAAAACTTCTTTTAGTCAAGTGCTTTGGCGGATTCGATGTTGTCTTGGATTTGCGCTCCTCAGATATTCGATCATAAGGTTCCACGTATGAGGAAAATAACGATCTGAGGATTTGCGCTCCTCAGATCTACGTATAAGGAAAACGAATAAATGCAGTCCTTGTAAAACTTGGGGTTCTTTTACTATTCTTTACCAAATTAAGACCGTTTACGAAAACAATTTTGCGCGAAAGAAAATTTTTTTTTTTTTGGCCGAATTGATCAGCCTTGCTTGTGCAAAAGATGGCTAATAAAAGAGAAAGATTTTGATCTTAGAAGCAGACAATGCACACAAGTGCTTTTTTGCACGGCTAAAATTTCCGTGCTTTTTACCGGTCTCTATGTTGCGTACACGCTCAGAATGTTACCAAAACTTCATGGCGAGAAGAGCCTACAATTAAAAATTGAAGTTGAAACAGTTGAAGCCAATAGTCAAACATGGAGTCGTTGTCTGATAGAGAATTGTAGCATTAAAAGCTGCACATGTTTTAAAAAAAGCAAAAACTCGCAGCCACTTTAAAAAAATCATTTACAAGAAACTTGAGAAAGCTGTTAGTTTTTAGGACATCATGACAAAGGTAGTCTTTGTAGTTTATTAAAGCACGTACTCGGCGCTCACAATCTTGTTCAATTTTTTTGAAGAAATTCAGCTTCTTTTTTATTAGCAAACTTTGATTCAAATGTGGTGCAAGTTTTAATAACTTATAACTTCAGCAAACTAAAAAAATTCCAATTTTGATTCAACTTTAAATCTTCTTCGTCACACTATGAAAACGGCAAAAAATTCTAACAAAAAATTAGAACATGAGTTTTTATTGCTTTCCCACTTTTTTGCTTCACAGCACATTATTTTATACTTCCTGTTTTTGCTGGCTCAAACAATTATAGGTGAAGACTTGTTCTCCCTTGAGCTTGGCTGGATTGTAATTACAGCTAAGTACAGCCGAATTATTTTGCATTTACCTGAGTAGATTGAATGGAATTCCTGATTTTTGATACCTTTACATTTTCTGAATGGTTTGCTTGCACATCGAAACTTATTTTCTCCGAATAATAATAAAAGTTTTTCGGAAAAAAAGTACTCGTTAGGACTAATCGCACAAAAACATAAATCAGTTTTAGTTTTTTTTAGTTTTCAACCATATGATGCATTTTTATCAAACTAAATTATGTGGTTGTTTTCTCAGGTTCAAGAATTTTTTATACAGAAAAATAAGGTTAGCGAATACAGTGCGTTGTTTTGGCTCTTGATGCTTATCTAAATTTAATCTTTAAAAATTTAAGTAAAAGATAAAATAATTGCGCCCGTTCTAATTTATTCTTCAGACAAATTTCGAGTTTTAACTAGAAGTTTTGAGTCATCTAAAAATTCTTGTTGTCCAGAGCTAAAAATTCGAAAATAAATTGTCTGCAACTAATTTTTTAAACATTATGAAGGTTTGAAAAGTTTCAGTTGCCTAACTTGGGACAGTTAAAGTCCATTCTAATTCCTATTGCTAACGCATTAGCGGCGATTAATTCATCCCATAAATCGTTTCAAATTGATACAAATCGTTCTTTCTCGTATAATTTAAACCATTAAAAACATATACTTGTATACCCGTACCCAATGAAGGCTGTTATATAAATTACCTAGCCAATTTTTTTTGTATTTTCAGAACAGAAATAACCAGAAATCAGTTCACTGCTCAATCGCAACTCAACAAGATAAACATGCTTCGATTATACACAATAGCCGTAGCAATACAATGCAAATTGACTCTTGTTATAACAAGGGTTGCTTTGGATTAGAATTCTAAAACTATCATTAATTATCAGGTCATGTGGCCTAGCGGTTAGCACAACCGCCTCCGGGAAAAATCTGGCGGTAGTTTGAGCCCTAGCACGATGAATTTTTCTAGCTCGAATTAGCCTAGATTGGGCTATTTTTTGATCAGAAGCAAGATCAGTAATTAGCCTAAAAATAAAGAATTTTAAGAAAATCCCTGCTTTATTTAAAAATTTCACAAAGAATTTCTGAACAGAAAGATAGATTAGATATAAAGTATTCATTTTCAGGGTATGGGTTTTTTCTCGGTATGGGTAACACTCTGGCATCAAAGCTTTTTGGCTCATTTCCAAAAAAAAACTCATTTTTTTTTATTTTCATAATTTTATCAGAATTTAGCGTAATTGGAGTGCTCTCTCTCTCTCTCTCTCTCTCTCTCTCTCTCTCTCTCTCTCTGTCTGTCTGTATTGTAAAGTAGTATAAATTCGGCCAAACAAGATAGTTCACAATATTTATTTTGTTCACCGCGAATGTTTTCTTTATATTCCAAAGCCCTGAATAATCCAAACGCCCTTTGCCCTTTGATTGGTCGCATGTGTTTTTGGTACAAAAAATATAAACTAACAAAAGTGCTCGTATATCATGGCAAAACACAAAAATTGAGACAATTCTTTTCTTTAAGTAGTTTCAATAGTTTCAAAAATATATTCTTTCAGTCAAAACTTTTTGGGCTGCCCAGTTCGAAGATTGGGTATAAAAGTTCGAGCCATGTAGGGAATTGATCTGACCAATTGTCTTGCCTCATTTCAATGTTTGATCTACTTAGCAATCTCCCTAAACCCTATGGTATGTACTAATGTATCTTCATCCCTATAAATAAAAACAGAAAGTTAGCAGAGAACTTGTATTGAGAATTCGAATTTTGCTGCATTCTGATTGGTCGAAATTTTTTTCTAACTTTATCTACTTAACCATGCCCCTATCTTGAAGTGGGCGAGATTTTTAAGTAGATCCCAATGTTTTTCAACCCAATGAAGAGGCCGACTAATTGAGCTCAACCAAAGGAAGTCTCCGATTGTTTTTAACAAGTTTTGGGGCTCTGAAAATTGCCAGTTTGGCCATGTTCTTGGCTTATTTAAAGACGCTGTGAAATGACTTTTTAATACTGATGCTGAAAGCTTAACACAATTTTTTGATGCGTGGTAAATTATCCCAGGCTACAAAGTTTTTCCAAATTGAATTGAGACGGCAAGCTAATCGGTCGTATTAATTTTGTATAAATCAAATTTTCACTCTTGATTTTGACCAAAATTGAAGGTTTTTCATTTTTTATCTACCAAAAACTATTCGAAGCCGTTACAGGATTAGTCGAAACATTCAGGGCTACGCTAGTTTACGAGCAGTTTTGTTATAATTATATTTTTCTTTAGGCACCAACCTTGATGGCTATATTAATTATTGCTCAGTAGGATTATTTTCAAAAAACTATTTTTGTGAAAATTACAAATTAATCTTGATCACATTTATTTAGTCTTTAAATAATGTAAAAACCAAAAACAATTTGTTGTATAAATTTTGTTTCATAATTTTTCTGTTTTGTCGCAAGTACTGTGTTTTTTCGGTTTGATTTGCTTGAACTTTCTTGTCAGTTTTGAACGGTGCAAACCGCTGTAAATTAACCACGACCGTCAAACCGCTAAAGTAAATGATTTAAACTGATACGTTTCTGAACTAGTTTAGAGTATGCTAGGTGATAATTTTTTCTATAAGGAGTATCTTTTTTTAGCAAGAAAAAAGCTTTGAATCTTCGCCTCGATGGTAAGTTAAGTAGGGCTTGAACAACAACAACAGCATGCAGGTATTTCAATTTTTGGGAAAAAATTTGCGCTACAGTCAGATATAGAAATTAAATAGATGAAATATGCAAAAGAATAGAACTTTTATTTTTAAACTTTATCCTGGATAACAAAATATAACGTCACACGTAATGTTTTTCTATTGAATACAAAAACTATGGGAAATTCTCCGTTTCGCTGCCCTTTTTTGTCTGTTACAATTGAGTCAAGATTTCGATTGTCTTTTTCCAAACTGTGTCGGCTATTTTGTCCCTCGGTTCGTTAATCAGCTCTTCTGCCAGCCCCCATCTTGCCAAATCATCTTAATCTTCATAGAATCCTCACTTCCATTAGTTTTCTAGTAGGGATATTTCAGAATTGGCAATTTCATTTCATTTTTTTTGTTCGAAAAATCGTTCAAAACACTTTTCAAAAGCTCTTTTCCACCCCCACTCCCCACATTTCGAAATTTAAATTTTTATGGCTAATTGTCGGTCGTATAAGTTATTATGGCTAAGCGCGATCTTATGCGCGATGTTATGAAGAAGGTAAGAAGAACAAATGAGTTCATAAAAATTGGTTTATTCACCATTTTTTCCACCGTAAAAACCGTTTCCAAAAAAATACCTAAAATGCGTGTTTTTGACCAATGAAGTTGCTCAAGGTCACCGAATTGCCAACAATTGGACTTCAATTATAAAAGTGCCACCAATTTGGCATTAACTATTAATTGCTAACTCTGGTATGTTTGCTCATATGTGTGCTTGTGATGGCTGAATTGCAGAAAGTGTACTCGCACAGTCGACAGTGAAAGTGGGCTGTGTTTCTAAACACAAAAACAAAATTCTAAAATTTCTATGCATTTAATGACGAGCCCTTATGAAAAACTTCTTCATATAGACTCCTGCGTTCTTGATAACCCACCAGCAAAATCAAATCCAATTGAAAAAAAATTGAAAAATGCGGACTAGGATAAACATCACATTTTTCCTGAGCATGGTCTAGTAAACGATTGTTCAAATGCAAAGTGACAATAGATAAAAAAGATGCTGCACCCTTTTAAAAAATTTTCTTTATATTTTTGCTTTTTTCCTCATTCTTAAAACCACTTTTCAAGGCTCCTTTCGAAATTTGTCCCTATCGTTAAATTATAAATTAATGTGGTTCCTGCGAATCGCAGAGGAGCTATCAGTAGACCTTAACAGTCCTGTCGAGGATAGTCGATTTGAATTATCTCCCGACATTCCAGACTGTGTTATTTTGCCGGGCGAAGCTCTTTTTTTGCGACTCAAGGCTGTTTTTTTTTTTGCGTGGTATCACTATTGCAGGCGAAATTGGTCAGGCTGTTGTAAGCCTGATGCTGGAAGTCAAGTGAGAGCTCGCCTTCACATAATATTATTGCCATGCCATGGGATCGAGTACACGATCTGACGATTTCAAAGTGAACGCCTTGTCACTATGCTAAGTGCCTCTAATAATCGTAAATTATAATAAAAAATGTTTTTTTTTTTACTTATTTCGCCCAAATTTCTCAATTTTGCGATTTTATAATATTCAAAGTATAAATGCTGAGAACAATATACTGATAGCACTGGTTGGTTTGGGTAATACAAATGCTATCACTTATTCTTAAGCCGACTTCTAATAAGGGCAAACTTCGGGCAGATACAAAGGTGTCATTCCCTGTTGTCTGTGTTTTTCTAATCTGGATAAAACTCTGGAGCAAATTTGAAGCATTTTTGAGTAGTTTACCACACATTCTTCTTTTTAGGCCGACTCGGCATATTTATAAGTCGACTTCAAATTATGAACAAAACATTTTGAGATGGTACTGAAATTTGAATGGATAATTCTAGCCAATCAGCTTGAAGCACAATAGTTTCAGTTCAAGATGTTGAAATATTGATTTTTGGGCGAAATAAGTAAAAAGACCCAGAAAATTGCCGGGAAATTGCTCATACGAGGAGTTTCACAACATTACAGTTTTTGAATTCTGTGCATTCACTTGTTCACGCTCATACGTTTAAGTTTCATCAATAGCAAAAAAAAATCTAAATAGCCTTCTGTAGACCCGATCAAAGGGGACTGGAAATCAAACAAGGCTGGACAAAATGCGTCAAAACCAGGGGCGGATCTAGGATTTTCACGAGGGGGGAGCTGGATTTTCAAAAAATTTTGTCGACTTTTTTTTAAGTCGACCAAAAAGATTTTCGGAGCTCTCCTAATTTTCTGGGCCGCAGGCAACTTTTTAAAAAAGAACAGGTCAAAAAAGACGTTTTTAGGTTTGGAAAATTTTGACCAAAAAATGGCGTTTTTTTTTGGCGCGCGCTCCCCCCTCAAAATTGGCATATGTTGGCGCCAATGGCGCCTTTACAAAACTTTTACGGTCAGTCAGCCTAAAATGGATATCTCAAAATAGTACTAATTTTGACGCCCGCCCCCATCTTCCCCCCCCCCCTCTAAATCCGCCCCTGGTCAACACCATCATTACCTGTTGTATCTGCAGCCGGGCATGCTGCAGTCCTCGTATCGGGTGAATTGTTGGAAGCCCTGAGCGACCTTTTGAGCCCTGTTGCGGTGTCGGGCGCTGTGTGCAATTATGTTCTGCTCGCTCTTAGTCACGTAGCAGCACCCTACCTCCCCACAATGGAAGTGTTTATTGCGGAACAACGCACACTCTATAGAGGGACACGTCTGTCTCTGAAAGGCAGCACATTTATGGAGAAAAGTGACAATAAGATATATGGATATCTGTATATATATACAGGGGCGGATCTAGGATTATCTCGAGGGGGCGGATCTAGGATTTTCTCGAGGTTGGCGGGTTTTCGAAATTTTGTCGACCTATTCTTCAGGTCGAACAAATTGATTTTCAGAGCTCTCACAAAGCGCTAAAAAGTCCCTGTTTTGGTCAAAATTTTAGCACCGCAGGCAAAATTTTGAAAAAAAACGGCCAAAAAGGCGTTTTTAGGCACTTTTTGGAATTTTGGGGGGGGCGGACTTTCCCCTCCTCAGGGATTCGATTTCCTGCCGACCCAAAGGGTCCCGACCTTTGTAGTATTTTGAGATATCCATATTTGGTGACGGACCCTAAAAAATTTCTAAAGGCACCTTCGGCGCCAAAATATAATAATTTTGAGGGGCAAGCGCGCGCGAAAAAAGCGTGACTTTTTGGTGAAAATTTTCCAAAAAACGCCTAAAAATGCCTTTTTTGGCCTTTTTTTCGCAAAATTTTGCCTGTGGCGCAGAAAATTTTACCAAAACAGGGTAATTTTTAATGCTTTGAGAGAGCTCAAGAAATCAATTTAGTCTACCTAAAAAAGAGGTTCGCCCCCCCCCCCCCCCCCTCGAGAGAAATCCTAGATCCCCCCTGATATAGATACTTATTATAACAATAAATCTCTCTCAATTATCGAAACTTTTTGTATTTAAAATACGTTTCACATGAAACTAGCCAAGTTTCAGAAAAATTTATCGATAGAAAACTTTTTTCCACTCGGAAAGTAAGTTCAATGGCATTTGTTAAGCTTTTGCCCTATTTGTCATTGGATAACGTAATTTGTCTTCGATTAAGGTGAGTAATGGGAAATGAACTAATAAAGAAATATAAAATCAAACCGCTAAATTTGAGCGTAAATAACCTTAAGACATCTTCCTGGAAAAAACGACAAAAACCCTGCCACATAAATTACCCGCATCCAATTTCAAGCGTTAATAATCGATTATATTACGATTTTAGTACCAGTCTCACTAAAATTGAGAAACAATCGATTTTAATCAATTAATAATCGATTATAATCACTCTTTTTAAAATCAAATTACAATCAATTATAACCAATGATAATCGATTATAATCGATTATTTATTCGTCTATTTTTCGAAACAATTATAATCGATTATAATTGATTATAATCCATTAATTTTATTCATATTTCTATTTCATTAGTTTTGCACACCAATCCATTATAATCGATTATAATTGATTATAATCCCTTTTGTTTGTCCATTTTTGTCTTCGAAGTTGCATCTAAATAGCTTATTTTTTATGCTTTTTGTGGACATTTCCAATTAATTCAAAAATAAAAGTTTTTTTCATTTCCTCCCCATTAGGGTTGTTTTGTGATGCATATTTTAAGCTTTTTTAAACACCAAAACATCAGCAAATTGATTCAGTCTCATGATTCATTCGGAAAATTTATTTTTCATATACCGCGAGAACCTTTCCACTCATGTGAAAGGATCTCTATGAAACTTTTGTTTCGTGGTAAAACTTTGTGTTCAGATGAACCAAAGTGTTCAAGAGATCTCTCTTTTAGAGATTTTCTTATTGACACAAAATTAATAACCCATAAGATATAATTCGAATAAAGGAAAATTTCGGCAAAATAAGATATTATAATCGATTATAATTGATTATAAGGGTTTTTAGTAAGAACTATAATCAACTATAATCGATTATAAGAGATTATAATCTCTTTGAAAATATCACGATTATAATCAATTATAAATCACTTAAGGACCTAATTTTGGTAATTATAATCGATTATAATTGTCAAAAAATCATCATAATAATCCGTTATAATCGATTATTTACGCCTAAACTTGGATGCGGGTAGTGTCTTATTTCCTTTCGTTCCTTAAAATACTAAAAAATTCAATTCAAATTATCCAGATGATCACCATACAAGATTGCTTCTTACCAAATAAAAGCTGTAATTTAAATCTGGCTGTGGTTCAATCTTGTTCATATCGCTAGATTTCAATTTGACATCACGAGTGGTTTTGTCAAATGAAGACTTGGTTGGGTCAATTGGATTTATTTTAATCAGATTCTGCTGCTTCGCTTCTTGCTCCTCCATTTTAAGCACAGACTGTTCGATGTTTGTCATGAAATCCGAAATGACGTCTTCATTCGAATCCTGTGAAAATCGGAAAAACACGGTAGCTTATAATTATTAACGACCACCCCTTAAAAATAAATGGAAACGATTTATGGCTTCTTTTCACTTCGGTTTTTGGGGAAACAAAACGCTTTTACGTGAAAAAGTAGAAAAAAGTGGTTGATTATGAAAGGAACTTTGGTGAATTTTTTTGGTGAAGAGATAAACGTCAGATGATAGATTTCGGTGATGATGTATTAAAGCGCATTCAATCGTGATTCGTATTATATAAAATAAATTTCCAAACAATTTCCGCAACGGAGTTCCATGGCTTTATATTATATGGCCTTGAAGTTCTGTAAATTTCAAGAACAGTTTATCATCGACATTTTTTTGATAAAATCAAAAAAATTTGAAAAAAACTGGATCAAAAGGAAAAATTTCTATTCGCTGGGAAATCTTAAAACCACTTTCTAATCTACATGTAGGAGTTCATCACTTTTTTGTGACCTTTCTACTTTTTCTATTCGATAGTAGTGTATGCCTTCATTTAATAAGGAAATGTTATGAAAAATTAGACAAAATTTCAAGTTAAGAATCGAAGTTCGTCGCAAGAGGAAAACCGACACTCAGCACAAATGTTTACCTTCAAAATAAAGAAAAAAAACTTTTTAAAAACGTCTTAAATAAGTGAATGCTGTTAATTTCAGCCATTAAAAATGACAAAAATGACCATTTATATAGTTTATTTTCAAATGAGTAGCGCTGTGTTTCACTTACATTCAGAGCTGGTTTCACTGAACGGCTAAAACAACAAAAATCATAAACAACCACTCAGGTTTCTGAATAGTGAAAACAAATAGTTTGATTTTTTTTTCAATTTTAGCCACATATGCTGTTAAAATAAACTAACCGTCTGCTTCTCCTTTCAGGATTGTGAGGCACTGTTTTGTCAAATAACTCCATGCATTCTTTTGTAGACAGCTTAGCCGTTTTGTATTCTAAATATAACATCAACCCTTAGAATTTAGCCTAAAAGTAAGCATTATTGAGACCACGCGTTGTTTAGTTCGTAATCTAATCTTAAAAATATCGTAATCTAAAAATATCGTAATGCGACAACTCGCCTGAAAAGACAACTCGCAATAAAAGACAACTCGCAATAAAATACAACTCGCAATATACTCACCGCCGCAGTTGCACCAACGTTTTGCGAGCTTCCCAACAGAGGGGGTAGGACTTTATACGAAATTTAGAGCCGGTTATCGCCGCGAAGCGACCTTAAGCCGAGAATATAAAGTTTCCCTACTTAGCTTCAAAAACTTAGTTGTCACTTTCCTTAAATTTTGCGATTTGTCTTTTCTTCCGAGTTGTCGCGGTACCTAAAAATATTGGGCCTTTTCGGTTATACCCCCCAGCCCCCACTTAATGATGAAAAATGAAAATAAAAACTTTTAAAACAAAAATGGATCAATATTATTACGACAACAGAAGGTTGATATCCAGAGGCTTGAATCAACTCGGAAAACTGCCAAAATTAGAAACACACGGCAATTCAGAAAGCATTTGTGAAAATTATATGAAGAAAACGGCAAAAAAGACAGGGACAATGACCTGTTTGAGGCTAAATTAAATGAAGTTGCTTCGTTTTGGCCTGCACCATATTGATAGCCAGCATTTCTTAGTAATATTGATCCGATTTTGCAAAAAAAAATTGCAAAAAAAACCAAAATACCCAAATTAGTTGCCTTCAGATTATTCGACTTCTCAAAAGATAGTAATTTGACTTTTGAAAGTGTTCAAAATGAATGAACTCTCAAACTTTTGGCTGCAACCTTCTTCAAATCTCTACCCTAAACCTAACAGGTAATTGCCAACGTATCCTTACCTCATAGTCAGGAGCCAAATATTCTGATATTTGAGCAGTCGATCAAAGATCAAATCATGGGCGGTGGGGGGTGTATTGTGCATTTTTAAAAAATATTCACAACTATATATTTGAGAGCTTTTGGAACAATAAAAAGGATGTATTACACGGTAATGATCAGTGCCGGAGGCAAATTTTTGGATAAACGTTTAAAAATATGACGCTTCTGAGAGGTTTTTACAATCGTTCACAAAAATTCTCATTTTTGGCATTAATTAAAGCAAAGAAAAATTTAGAAAAATTTAAGAAAACAGAAAAATTCAAGATGGTCTATTAACCAGTCGACGAAAAGTGGAAGTAAAAAATAATACCCAAGAGATGCCTCTTTTGGTGGTAAGGGGCTGAAATCCCCGAGAAGAAGAGGGGGCTGGGAAGGCCTACCTCTAATCCAATCCTCGTCTAGATAGTGAAAAAATACGAAAGATAATCATCTGAAACCCTGCAATACTTTGGGTCGTTTTCGACAATTAACAATTTTTTAAAACTAAAACTTCATTTCACCATTACATACTTTTTAGTGTTTCAAATTCCGTACATCAAAGAAAAGCTATACAAAGCAAACAGGTGCGGATCTAGGATTTTCTCGACGCGGGGGGGGGGGGGCGGTTTTTCAAAAAAAATTTAGAACAAGCCCCAAAAAATCACGTTTTGAAAAAATCCAGGCCCCAAAAAAATTTTGAAAAAATCAGGCCCCAAAAAATCACAGGCCCCAAAATTAGTATGTATTGGCGCCAAAATTAGTATGTATTGGCGCCGAAAATTAGTATGTATTGGCGCCAAAATTAGTATGTATTGGCGCCGAAAACGACAGAAAATTTTTTAGGGTTAACGCTTTCTGACCAAAAAAATCATTTTTGTAGCAGCTAATCGAATAGTAATTAAGTTGCTCACCAGTAACCTTGACTCCTTTCGAGATCAGTTTTCTCAACTTCTCGTGGTGGACCTTATGGCTCTCTGCTTTGGAAGTGCACACGGCTGTGAAGTCACATCCTAAAATAGATATGACTCATCATCTTTGAGACCCTATTACAAGTCCAAGAAGTAAGTGTTTTTTTAAAGTATACTGAATTCCTAACAATTTGTTTTGATCCAATCACCCTCCTCTAACAAATTGATGAAATATTTTTCTCCAATCAGGGAGCAAAACCAACAGACAATAGAAAAAGTAACAATGAACTAAAAGAAAGAAAATGAACTTTAAGTTTTTTTGAAACGGTACCGCGACATTTCGCAGCAAATACAGCTTGCAAAACCATACAAATTGTAAGAATTGTTGCAACCAAGTCAAATTTTTTTCTTTGTCTGATTTTCCCATTAAACCTTTTTGACGAAATTTTATTTCTGTCTGAAACATCAGTAACCTGAGCTCAAAATCGAAAAATTGTTTCGCCAGTAATTCTTTTTCACGAAGTTACCGGTAAAAGTTCTCAAAAAAGCCTATTGGAAGTGGCGGATTATTTCACTCAAAAATCATTCTAATTTGTGTTGAAGTATTCTAATTGCTCCAAATTCGAAGAAACTTACGCAGCATTTGAGTGCATTGAACCTCTTTCAATCGAGATCCAAATGTTTTCCAATACTGAGATAAACCGGTTTGAAGTTTTCGAATTTTGTTTCAATTTCGAACAAATAAAAAAAGCAAGCAGGCTTACAATAGCTTATTTATGCTTAATTTAAGCCATGAAAACTAAGTTATTCGCAAGTAAAGTTGATTTTTGGAGTTTTTTATGATTATTAATATGAATATTTTTGCGATTACTATGGTTATTACAAATTTGATCATGATCATTTTTTATGATTTATACCCCAATAATTTTTATCATTTGCCTTCTTTGAATTACAAAAAAAATAAACCGCAAGAAATCAAATTAGAAAAAAAATAATAAATTTTTTCTTAAGAAAAAACTATGAAATCATCACGACCTAAATAAGTGAAAATCACTTCGTTCTCTTAAACCAAAAATATGCTTTAAAATGACAAAAAACCATGATGTAGGATGGGGTTTTTCTTCCTGATTTCGACTGCCCCAACAAAAAACTTGAGGGGGTCAAGTTGAACTCATAAAACCGACAATTAAGCCGTTGTTTGGACTACTGTTTGACTTGCTGTCTGTGGCGAGAAAAATTAACACTTTTTACGAATATTTTAATGTTTATGAAATTAAACATAGCTAACATACAGTTGAAAAAGAGTCAATGATCGCAAATAAATAGAGAACAAGTACCGACTTGTTTTTTGAAAAATCTTTCGAATTTCAAAGAAAAAACTAAATGCCCTTAAAAATCTTTGAATTTCTACAACAGTGTATAAATGGAATTTTTTAATTAAAAAAAATAACCCAATTTGAGAAAACAGGATCATTAAGTAATTTTTTTTTTCGCTGGCAAATCTGAAAAATGAATTCCCCTTCGATACTAGAAGTCGATCACAATTTTCGTGACTTTTTCACTTTTGCTGCTTGATGGTGTAATTGGTTTTCCTTTTAACAAAAGATGTGAGCCGGCTATGCTTGTTTTTTAATTGAGCTTTGTTAAGAAAAAGATTTTGAAAAGCGAGCTCCAAAAGTCTAACTGGAAGACAAGGATATTGCATGGAAGACAAGGATATTCGAAGAAATTGATTTTTAAAGTTGTCTTATATAAAATGAGAGCATGAAACAAAACTTCAAACTGTGTTTCAAAAAGAAAACACAGCCAACAGACTGTTGGAAAAGTGTCAAAATACTCAAATAAAACCGAAAAAAAAAAGATTTTTACAAGCATTTAACTTTCGAACTTCGAGAAAGGTTTGTCCCAGTTAAAGCTCTTTAAAATTTTGAAACCGTTTATAATTGGCCTTTTTTGGGGCATTCGAGCTGAACTTGAAAAAAATTGGATTAACAGTTATTTTTTTTATTCCACTGGAACTTCTATAACTTAAAAATCACTATCAAAACTAGAAGTCAGTCACGTTTTTTAGCGTCATTTGCATGTTTGTTTTTAAAGGGCACAAGAAAACGAGTTTGAACTCAACTTAAAAAGAAAAATCAAACCGCGAAAAATCAAACTTGAGCGTGAAAAAATTTTAAGACATTTTCCCGAAAACAAAACAAAAAACATCAGCTTGCCTTATATAGATGTTGTGATTTACATCAATGTTTTGCAATTACTGCAAAACATATTAGTTTAATTAACTGGTCACTCTGATATGACCTTCATTGGCCATTCTCTCCGGCGGAGAGAATGATCTCTCATTGTTTTAATGTTTTAACTTACCGACTAATTCATCTTAATTCCATATTCTTTTTAATAGTTTTAATTTAGAATTAGCTACAACAAAGTAACATTTTATCATGGCGCAGTCAACTAACGAATCTAACGTGAGAGGAACACCTCCTTTTTGGCAAAACCATACGGTAGACCCCCCATTCCATGGGAAGACTGGAGTGATCTGTTTCAATGAGCTATAATTGCTAAGGAAAACATAGACATAGAAAACCTACTCAATCCGTTGGAGAGACAACACCCACTACCTCCAAATTTGGAAAACTCGACGGACGGTGAAACAGATGCTCAAAGACGCTCGAGAATGGAGAGAAATACTCAAGAACAAAGACGTTACGACGAAGAAGAAACAGCTTCGATAAAAACTGAAACCAAGAAATTTAACAGAATGCGAATAGAAGAAGCGGACAAAAAACTACGTTCAGTCTTATATCTAGCACTGGGAAACGAAGGAAAAAGGATCTTCGGACAAAAATTCACCAAGGTGAAAGTTGTACAAATTTCTTTTAAAGAATTCTGGGAGTTCCTAGCGATCGCTTTCGTAAGAAAGACAAATGTCACATTTGAACGACATAAACTGTTAAATAGAAAACAACGCGACAGAGAATCCCTCGAACAATTTTGGGGTGCTTTAGCTGAAATGGCAAACAAGTGCGACATAACCGCAGGAGAAGAAGAGTGGATAAGAGATATTTTCATAAATAATATGAAAAACTACGACATCCAAAGGAAATTGTTAACAGAAACCCTCCCTCCACGCGAAGCACTAAATGTAGCACTCATAGACGAAAAAGGAATTCTAAATCACTTGAAGTTAACTAACAATTTTAAATCCAACGGATCATCCGTACACACACCAAACAACCATTTTAACGTCAAAAGAGAACCAACCCTTAACATCGAAAGAAGTAACAACTGTATGAAGTGTGGCGGATCATTCTCAAAAGGACACTTAGCAGTTTGCCCAGCAAAGGACACGACTTGTACTACTTGTAAATTCAAAGGGCATTTCACCAGACTTTGTAGATCTCGTCGTAAAAATGTAAACATTGTAAATACTCAAATTGTAGATAATACAGATTTTAATCCGTCGGATATTCCGGATGTATATACTGACCACACGGATAGAGAATGTTGTGGCGTCATAAACGCATGGTCGGAATCTGGACAAAGCGAAAACGACGATTACTCTGTACTAAATGTAACTACAATTTTTGATAACGATGGAAAAGAATTGAAGAAATTACTGAACATTGGACTCGGAAAAGAAAACCAAGTAATTTTAAACATTCAAGTGGATTCAGCTAGCCCGGTGAGTTTCCTCAAGAAAAACGTACTACACGAATTAAAGTTACGCGACCCTTACTTGAAAATTTATCCTGTGGATAAGACAACTAGAGACCTCTACTGTGGATTCACAGATAATGCCATAAACATCACTGGAAAGGTGAAGCTCCCGATATTTTCAAATGGTGGGTCAGACAACGACTGTCAATTCCTCCTAACCGAAGGACACGAGAGAAATATCTTAGGAAACGATAACCTTCCAAAAGTGGGGATAGAAGTCCCTCAGAAACACTTCCCACATTTCCAGACTAACAAACAGTGTAAGTCAATAAATTCCATCTCTCAAACAAACCAAGATAGGGAAATTCTAAATATATCAAAATCATTCAAAAATTTATTCCTTCGGATCGGAAAAATTAAAAATCAGATGAAAATCACCTTCGGAAATCTAACGGTAACATAAACCGAGACTGTTTCTATAAGGAACTAAATAAAAGAATTATAAATTCATCCACTTCGACAGTAGAGTTATCCGACGGAAAAATAATACAAAATCCGACATTGCGATTCCGATTTCTACCTCAAATAAAATCAGACCTTTTAAAGGAAACATTTCCTTCCCGTATTTTCCTAATGCTAATGTTGAAGTAGGTCAGAAGCAGGAAGGCCCAACACGGAAACCAAGATCAAAAAAGCCAACCAAAAAAATGACCAGACAGTTGGATCCGACCCCATCCGACAACTTAACTAGGACACGCATATCAGGGTCATCACACAAATCTACAAGAAGACAAACACGCCACTCAAAGAAGTCTTCAACTCCTCCAGGTTACCTTGCTTCGGATGAATCTATGCTAATTCCTTCGGATATTTCGGATACTAGCGAATGGGAATGGATAGCGGGCGGTTTCCCTTGTAGAGACGTAGCCAGAGAACGCTTTATTTTAGACTCAAATACACCTCACCTCTCAATCGAAAATAATTCTAATTCCGCTGTAACAAATCCTGAAATAAAATCTGAGATTTTAGAAAACGACATTGACCCTAACAGAGAGCAACCTATGGACCAATCTTACGAGTGTCCAATAAACATAATACCCGCTTGCCGAACACCTAGTACTGCGGAACAGAGAACCGTGAACCAGGGAGGGGACAAAGACACCATCGAACAACAGGACCTGCAAGACGAGTGCAATCCAACGGATAACAACTCAGTTACAGATTTCCCGGTGTACGAGATAAGCGACCCAACTGACGAGTGCACTGTACCTCCCAATCTTACTATCATATCCGGTAAAATTCCTCCTACCATCCGCCGTTCTAGTAGAAATGTCGGCCCAAATTTTATGGCAAACGTTATTTTATTGATGCCGTAGAGAACGTTCAAGAAGCCTCCGGTTCGGCGGCCGATCCTATCGTGATTGAAATTGAGGAATCACACGAGACCAACAACAAGACGACTCCGGCGGAGTTAATTGTCCTAGACTCAAGTCCAACATCTTCAGACCAAATGTCAACCTCATCAACTGACGAATCGCTGAGGATGGAATTAGAAAATTTTGGAGATCATTCTGATCTAGACAGCGAACTTTTTAATAACGAACTTGAAAATTTTCTAAATGATTATAAAACTTCGTAAACATTTTGCTTTACCCTAATTCTGTTATATTGGCATTTCAACGAGCACATATTACCCTATAAACCGGTGCTAATCTTCAGGTATCAAAATGTTCTTCAGTAAACTTGAGTACTCTATCAAAAAAAAATCCTTCGCATAAACCATCAGTAAAGGAAAACATCATCTGGTGCTCTTATAATTTCTCTAAGCCGACTTCCTTATAGTTTGTGTATCGCAAATCAATGATCCACCCATAAAACTTGGCGACAACCTCTTAGCATTCTAACTTCTTAACCCAGCCCTTATCCGTCGGAATCCGGATAATCATTTCTCACAGTTATAGTTGTTGAATTTAATCCCATAGAGGCGCTTCAGTTAGTGTCAGTTCCTTATTTACGGCGCTTAATTTTTTTTCTTTTCCTTGTCCTTAAAGGGGGAGAAAGGAGTCAGACTTAGTTAGTCATTGTGCTTTATTTTATTCGTAATTTAAAATTTTTTCCTGCTTAGGGGAATGTTGTGATTTACATCAATGTTTTGCAATTACTGCAAAACATATTAGTTTAATTAACTGGTCACTCTGATATGACCTTCATTGGCCATTCTCTCCGGCGGAGAGAATGATCTCTCATTGTTTTAATGTTTTAACTTACCGACTAATTCATCTTAATTCCATATTCTTTTTAATAGTTTTAATTTAGAATTAGCTACAACAAAGTAACATTTTATCAATAGAGCTCTTCACCACTTTCACTGACAATTGAAAATATATAACCTGCTTAAGGCTTTTAAACTTATTTTATTATCTTTTTAAAATTTAAACCATAATACATACCGAGGGGCGACTCTAAGATGGGTCAATTTTTGGGGAGGGTTGGTACGGGCAATTTGTATAAAAAGAGTAATTTCGAAGTGGACAAACCCTTGATGAGACAATGGAAGTGATTGAGATTTTGAGAGTAGTTGCAGTTCATGAACCCACACGAGTTGTGTTTGGAGAACTTCTTGCATCCGAGGTCCTGGAACTGGTCGTTCTTCGAGTGCAATAACTTGTGAGGTTTCAGCAGTGTTTTGTCTTTGAAAGCGAAAGTACAGCCTTCGCGCAAGCAATGGAAATGTGTAGTTTTTCCCCTTAAAAATAGGGAAATTTGAATATTCTTACCACGTCAAAATTGGTATCAATCTAGATTCTATAGACACTGTAAACTAGACGTCGTCCCTGGAATTTGTAAATGTTTGAACAATTTTCATAATTTTCACTAAGGAATTCAAACAATTACAATAGTTGAGTTTCAATTACAGCTATCACGGAACAGCCGAATTTCCATGTTCAAAATGACAGTTAAAATATGATATTTCCCACCAAGTAGTTTTCCTGAATTTTTGTAGAAAAAAAATTTATCCCATTAGTTTAAGTCATTGTATATCAGTCTTCATCCTCTGAATAATGAAATTAGGCAGATCGTTATTCTGAGTAAATTATCGAGTTTTTTTCCTTATTCTGTGTTATTTGAATTGTGGTAAGAAAAATAAGGTTCGAGTATCCAAATTGCCCTGATTTTTACCTGAAGAACTGACAAAGAGGGTCGCGACAATTCTCGCTTCTGGAAAAGCGCACGAAGCCATCAGTTTGCGTCTGTTCCGACCGAAGGTGGTGCTTCTGATGAGCCTCCGCGTCTCCCAACCCCAAACACACCCGCTCACAGTTGGGCTGAAGCGATTAAACCCGCTCATGAACACTTTTTACGGACCACATAAACATGGTTACCAAATTTAGAAATTTAAGCTCATAAATGCGTAAGTTTCAGAAAAATATAATTGGGTTGAAAAGGATTATGCGTGAGATCTTTCGAGAATTTGTGTGAGATACGTTAGGGGCGAATTGGGTGAGGTGCTAAAGGGGTCACCTTGCTTTTCAACCAATCTATATGTTTCTGAAATTACCACAAAAAAATCAATATGACTTATATAAAAGCCTTTACTACGGTCATTTTCACCCATTATTTTTGCAACACGCTGCTTCAATCCCAGCTATGGACTACTATGGGTCGAAAATTTAGTCTGTGTATACAAAAATTCCATGAAAAACGACCAAATAGTTGTCGAGATATTTCAGTTGGGATCCTTTTTGGGAACCCCTGGGTAAAACACATGACTCGTATTTGAGACTTCTATTCAACCCCCTTTAGTATGTTATAGTGAAGCTCATTAAGCTTACCCGTATACAATGATAGTGGGTCTTGCAGTGGGAGTGGGGACAACCCCTCTGCACAGACGCGCATGACTCATAACTGGAGAAGCGGATGAACCCCCTCTCCCTCCACGATTGCTTCTTCTGATGGAAGTTCATATGACGCTGTAGCTGCTCCTTTGGGAAAATTTTCTAAAACCAAAAATTTTTTAAACGCATTTAGCTCCAACCGCGAAATAAAATAGCAAGCCGACAGATGAAAAAAGTGATGCTGTAACACGACTGCTCTTAACATGCAGATGCCTTGAATGCACCGATTGCCCTTCAGTATGTCTCAAGAAAGTTTATATTCCAATTAAAAACAAAAAAACTTGCAAAATGGCGCTCGCTTAAGTGATATTTTTGTGAAAGAACTCTTAATTTATAATTTTTTGTGTAATGACGTATCATTTGGAAACGGTTTATAATTTTTACTTAGAAAAGAAAAAAATTTAAGTCAAAAAAAAATTAAGTCAAAAATGCAATTTATGGCTTAACTAGATTGCATGGCCTCAATTCATTTTTATATAATATCTGAGCCAGCTTCATTCAAACTTTACGCGGACAATTTTCAAACCTCAACAAGACTGCTCGTATCAGGGCGAAGCCCTGAATATTCCGACTGCTTTTTAAGGTTTATGGAGCAGTAGTTACAAAAAAAAAAAAATGTTATGAAATAAAATGGAAATTTTTTTTAAAATTTGAATTTTTTTTATGAAACTATCCCCCACACGCCATGTAAAGTACAAAAGAAAAAATTTCGCTACTTGTAATAAGTCAACAATGGCAAATAATCTTCATTCAACCATTTTGGAACGATTTCCAAGACGGATTAAATCTCCGCTTATGCGTTAACAGCTCGAAATAAATCGCGCGTTAATTGTTCCAAATTGGCCAAAACGGCAACCTTTAAACCCTCATAACTTTTTTAAAAAAATAATCACAGGTGAAATATCTGTTCAAATTTAAGCTCAAGACAATAATACCTTTTGAATGGTATAAAAAATTCCGTCAAAAATGGCTAGTTAAAAAGTCGAAATTTGTCTGAAAAAAAAATTACCCCGAGCGCAAATATTCCGAAAGTCGGAACAAAAAAGATTGAATTAGTGTAACGAAAAAACATATCACTTTGAAGAGCTTCGATTTTGGAGAAAATACTAAGTTTCACTCTGCTTTGATAAACCTGCTTGTGAGAATTTTCCTGAATCCAGTTTCAAGTTTTTTTGATAATCGATTATATTATGATTTTAATACCAGTTTTACAAAAGTTGAAAACAAAATCAATTTTAATCAATTAAAAGTCGATTATTATCTCTCATTTCAAATCAAATTGTAATTTTCTATAGTTTATAAATCCTTTAAACACCTAATTTGGTAATTTTATTTGTTTTTAAATGTCTAAAAATCAACATATAATCCGTTATAATCAATTTGTTACGTTTAAACTTCTAAACAAAAGATTACGTTTCAACCCGGAGGGAAACCTGATAACTCAAATCCGTTTTTGAAAGCAAAAAATTGTTCACGCCAACGAGATATGTAAAATGCCTTCCTTTTAGCAAAACCTTTTAGATAAGTAAACTGTTTTTTTTTGGCTTCAACTTCTGCTTTGTGTCTTACCCAGAAAAGCAAAAAACACTTAATAACGTTGAACTCCTTTTTCTCTTGCAAAAATCTTGACCCACTGATGTCAGCTTACCAATTTTTTGCATGTTTTTTCGTAGCAGTGATAATGCTCCGTCTGAAGCTTAGGGCATCTGCGGCAGTACCTGACTGAATTGTCACTAAAACAGAAGAAAAACATTGGTTAACAGGTTAACATTTTGGTCAAAACAAAACTTTCGAAGAAGAAAACCTTTGAATGTTTTTTTTTAATTTTCCCCCACGCGTAAACCGAGTTAAAAATCATATTTTTTGCGCCTTGTAATGCATAATTGGCATCAATTAGGTTGCCCTAAATCAATTGGGATTGGTTTCTGAGCCGCACTAATACGTTGCCTATTCTATTATTTGTGGAAAATTCTACATTATAAACCTACCTTGAAGAAGAAAAACAGCACCAAGCGCATACTTTCTCGTTTTTTGGAAGTCATTGCCTGCAGAAAATGGAAACATTATAATAAACACACATAAAAAACAAATAAACCTCACCTTGCGAGCTTCAGAAAAAAAACATATGACGGGAACCTTAAAAGACCACAAAACCTAAAATAAGTGATAAATCACCTTGACGATTAACCCTGATCCATCTTTAAGGTAGCTTGCATACTAACATTTAATTCTGACAAAACGAAGTATTTCCTTTACTTCGTTTTGTCAGAATTAATTGCTAGTATACAAGCAACTTTGAAGAGGGATCAGGGCTAATCTTTAAAGTGATTTATCCTTTATTTTAGGTCTTGTGGTCTTGTAAATTTCCCGTCATATATTGTTTTTTTTTCTGAAATTCGCAAGGTAAAAGATTTAGTCGTTTTTTTTTCTCTGTGTTTATTATAATGTTTCCTTTTTTCTGTTGGCAATGACTTCCAAAAAACGAGAAAGTATGCGCTTGGTGCATTTTTTTAAGTATAGAAAATAATGAATTAGAGAAAATAAAGCTATTTGAAAATTCCTTTTCATTTGGTTAGAAGTTCAAAATGAGAACTCAAACTAGTATAGAATTTTCAGAAACTGCTAATTCAAAATTCGGTTACGTAGCAGTATTTAGACAACCACGTAATAATTCTCGTCAGTAAGCAGACAAATACTACATTAACCAATCAGAACCAAAACGAGGAAAAAATTGTTAAGTACTAATTATATATTTTGTAAGTTTGCTTTCCCATCTCGATTCTGATTGGTTTTTATAATATTTGTCTGCTTACTGACAAGTATGAATGCGCGGTTTTCTAAACACATACCGCACTCCCGAAATTAAAACTCATTTAAATTCGAAATAAATTCCAGCACCTGATATAGGCAGCATCAAAATCTAAAAGTTATGTAACCTTTCTATATCAAGATCGATTGACTTTCAAAGCTATCAGATTACTTTGTAACTTTTTGGAAAGCATACAAAGAACACTAGATAAAACAAAAAAAAATTTAAAGTACAAAAAATGGTTTCTCAAGTTATGAGACGTTGAGCTGATATTTTAAAACTAATAGTCGAAAGTCAATTTTAAAAAAATAGCAATTGAAAACAATTCTAACTCTGACACGTTTGAGCGCTCAATTTTTCGTTTTATAATGATTTTCCAACCCTCACGTTTTTCTCTCTCACCACGAAGAAGTAAGTTGTGCAATTTTTGAACGTTAGAAGCACAGAGACTTGTTTCATTCAAATTGAAAAAGTAGATTTTTGTTCCGATCATTTGAAAATGGAGAGGAACTTTGTCTTCGGGTGTGTTTTAGGTTTTTAAAATTTTTTTTTTGGTTTTCTTCACAAAATCAGCTGCTACAAATAATCATCGGAGAGAGTTGAATGGTATATCATATCAACTCCCTTTTAGTTTTGAATTAATCGACCTTCCAAAATTTTGAAATTATTTTCCAAGTGACGAGAAAAACCGGTTTGAAGTTTTTGATTTTTCATCTCATTTCAAGCGAGCAACAGGTTTATTTTAATGGCTTAGAAGCTTACAATAGCTAAAGTTACGCCATAAAACTTTAATTTTATCCATGGAAAATTAGGTTTTTTTTAGTATTTAAGCGCTTTTTTGCAATTAAAAAATTCGAACATTTAAAAAAGTGCAAAAATAATTAGAGAAAATTTTTGAATTTTTGTTTTGTTTTTATAGTCAATTTTCTATAAAAATTATTTTGCACTTTTGGTATTTTACTATGACTGTCGAACATTTCTAAGCTTTAAAGGATTCGTACGGATCCTTTTATCACCACAAGACGCCGAAGAAACGAAACTAATTTGAAAAAAATTTTTGTTGTATTTATTTAAGACTACGATCGGAACCTTCTGTGCTACTTGCACAATAACCGGCTATCCTTATTTTTAAAAAAGACTGAAACAATTTTGATTTTTCAGTTGAGCGGTTTAAACAAATTGAATCAAAAGGTGATTTGGGTCTTTTCTGTTATACGGCCCGAAATTCATCTTTCATTATTTTGAAAATTGGATTATAATGCTTAATTTTGATTGGATGAGAACAATAAACGCGAGGAAAATCTGAAGCATTTTCAAATACATTAGCTCATTCAGCGGTTTTGTAAATTTGAGCCTTTTAACAGCAAAAAATCTGATAATTCTTTTTTACTCTGGTAATAAAAGAACTCAAAAATAGTCGCAAATAGTTAAATTTGAGCGTGAAAGAAATTGTATAAATTTCATTTACTATTTCTTCATTTCCAAGTAAACAGCTTACCCAAAACTGTTTGTTTAAATTGAAACTGTAAAACCCTTAATCTTGAAATAATGTATCTCAATTTTTTTTTTTGCAATACTTTGATACTTAAACATAATTCCTAATCAAACTTTTAAGGTAAGTTCAGAATTTTTTTGTCTGTAGTTATTTTTTAAATATCATATACATACCAGCATGTTTTCTTTGGAAATATCAGCAAAATTTGGGATGAGTATCGCGCAACATTTAGCGTTCTTATAACACTTGTAAGTGGCGGAGTAAAGCGTTTCCAAATGAATTGAGGCAAATTATTTGATCTTATAATTAAAATACGAGACGACTGAAACATTTTTTTGTACTTTTTATAGCGTGTGGGGGGTTTAACTGAAAAACGAAAATGAAAAAAAAAGTTTTACTTCTCCTACCTCCCGAAGTAATTAAGTCCTCTACCGCGTATAGAAATACATAATAATTCATGCTGTCAAAATAATTACATATGATTAAAAAACTTTAAATTCTTACTAGATGTTCAGTTTTTATCCTTTTCCTTGAACTAAAAAACAATCCGCGAGTAGCACCAAGTTTTTGTTATAACTGTATGCATCAAAAAAAACTTTAAAAATATGGGTGCTCGTTTAGAAGTATGGTTCGGAAAAACTAGCTGTGGTCCCATCTGAAAGTCAGACAGAAAAAGTAGGGTCTTTTCGGTTATATGGCCCAACCGTTATCAAACTGTTATATGAGCTTGTTCTTATGGAAAACGCGAGGAAAAAAATTTTGCACGGATACTCATTTCAATCAATCAGATTCAAGCATCATGATCAAACTTTCAAAATTGCAAAAAGAATAACTTTTCGGTCGAATAACAGGAAAAAAAACAAGAAATTGTTGCAGGTACAGGATCTTGTTAACTATTTCCCCCTTATTATAGGGGGGGTGGGATAAATAACAAGGTACAAAACTCGTATCTGCTTAGCTGTTCAATTCTTTCTCTACAGGGGGGGGGGATATTCGTTACAACAAGGTACCATAGGGGGAAATAGTTAACAAGATCCCAGGTAAATTCTATAAGTTTTGCGAGTGAGTTTTGGTTGCCAGCGATTTTTTTTTAGATCAAGTTAAAATCCTTAACATGGATTTTTTTCCTTAACATCCTTCCCCCTAAACGGTTTAACTTGATCAAGTTAACAACTTCTTAACATCCTTCCCCCTAAACGTTTTTTTTTGGGTGGGGGGGGGGGGAGGGGGGGGGTGTTAACTTGGTTCATTTTTTTGATAATTTCAATTTCTATAAAAATTAAGTGCTAAATATGACGGAGAAATATTTACAAGGAAGTTATCTTTTTTGTTATCTTTTACTTGAAGTACTGACTGAGTCACAATTCTAAACGAGATTTTGAAAGGCGGGACGTTCAAACATCAAAAACGGCGGGACGTTACTTCTAAACTAATACCAAAAAATGTACTGAGAGCATTCAAATTTCTGCATTATATAGAAACGGTTATAAACTAGCCGTTTTTGCGACCATTGAAACTTAGAAATAATGTGGTACCACAAACCTGGTACTAAGCTCGCACAGATACGTATCAAGTCTTGCACAAATACGTGCCAGAGATAACAATTAAAACTGTGTTTATCGCAAAAACCTGTCAGAAACAAATTTGAGTCATGAAGTGACTATGAACTAGAAAGACGCCTTTTTCTCCAAATGTCTTCCAAAAATTTTCGATTCCGAGAACTCACCGAAAAAAAAAGTAGAAAAAAAACTCGAAAATGTTCTCCGTTTGAAAAAATTGGGCAACATTTTTCATTGAAATATTCTAAATTCAACGGACGTTCCGATGGAAAGTGAATGAATATACGGCAAGAATGTATAAAAACCAAACACAAGCGCAGAATATATATACTAACACTTTTTCGGTATTGGAAACTTGAAAACCACTTTTGCACTGAGCATTTGTCTGCTTCTCTGTTTCGCTAGAGCGCTTTGGAACTTTGACTGTTTCCACCTGGTCCTTTGATGTCGAAGCTAAAGGGGTGTTAGGCGCTGCTTCTTGTAGAACCGTCACAATTTTGGTCGGTTTTGCCTTTCGTTTGTTTCGTTTCACTAACTCGACTCTAGAAGTAATCGCTACCTGGCTGGGTAAGTTTTTGTTGTCTTCTAATCCAATTTCACTAACTAAATTTGAAGAAATGCAAACAAACTGCTCCTCATTGTCATTATCTCGTAAAATTTGCAAGTATTTTTCTATATCATCGAAATAGCTAAGATCGGGAGTAATGCGAGACAAATTTGAAGGATCTTCGTCGTAAAAACCTCCATTCATTTTGATTTTGAGCAAAATAAAGCAAAATTTTCGTAATTTTGAAATTCCAGCTTAGACGTGAAAAGTCAAATTTAATTTGTGCGCGTTTTTGCAAAACTGAAATGAGTTTTTGTTGTTCACACTTCAAATCGTTTGCTCAAAAGAAATTGAAAACAATTGAGTTTTAAACTAAAACGTGATTTTTTCCGAATAAAACGTTTTTTTTTCAACTCAAACAAAGATGCCAAATGAAATCATTTAAGTTCTCTCGGTATAACCAAAAAAGTAATAAGATAACCAATTGCAACAAAAATCAAATCAATAGTAAAATGTGAAATAACTTCTAAACGATAAAATGTGCAAAAAATGCAATTTTTGTTCACAATACGCGCAAAAATAACGCAGCAATGTTTTTCTCTCGATGTGCATACGCTCGTTACTTTTATAAATGAAAAAATGTGCGTATAAAATACCAGAAATGTGAAAAAAGCTTGTTTTCAACAAAAAAGAGAAAACAAGTAGAAACTGCGCGTTTTTACAAAATATGAGAAATATAAAAGCAAATCTATTTAACACGCTCAAAAGAAAATAAAAAGTGCACTTTTAGATTTTCATGCTTTTTTGCAGCAAAAAAGCAAAAGATGTTGCAATTTTTTTGCAAAATTATTAAATCCACCGGGGTTGGAAAATTTTCATTAGAAAAAAACGGTAGATTTTTTCGCATTTTCACGTGATGGAGGGCGATTTAGTTGCCAATTTATGTGGAAGCTAAATAGACAAAAACAATTTTCCGTAATATACTAAAAGCACCGTATATAAATGCATAAGGTTTTGAAAAATATCTTTTTTTTCACAAATATATATACTGTTACATTTTGCCGCCAACTAACGCAAAACAGGCATACGTTATATTCAGGTCGCAATCTCTTTTCCATAAAAAATACCAACTTTCCATTTTCACCAGAAACTCGATTATCCATAAAAAAATTCAGCCTTTTATGGAACTGGCCTCGATTTGAAACAGTCAGATCTAGGATTTTCTCGAGGGCGAGGGGCGGATTTTCAAAAACTTTTTGAAAGTTTTGTCGACCTTCTTTTTTAGGTCGACCAAATTGAATTTCCGAGCACTTCAAGAACACTATAAAGACCCTATTTAGACCAAAAGTTGTGCGGTTGAAAAAACGACCAAAAAACGTTTTTTTTTTTGGTTCGCGCTCCCCTTCAAAATTAGTATATATTGGCGCCTAAGGCTCGATCAGACGAAAATAAACGCCAAAAAATTTAACATAGGGGGCCTTTTGGGCATTCAGGGGGTCGAATACCTGAAGAAAACAAACGTCTACCCCCACCCTTTAGGCGTAGCAGACATATAATAGCAAAAATCTGCCACCGTAGCATAAAGTGCTGTTTAAGCGAGGCGGGTTTCCTCCGCTTATTTTGTATTAGCTGACCTGAAAGATATTTTTGATTCATTCACGGAGTTTCGTTGTCAACAAGCTACGACTAATTTTTAAAATGGAGTGATTAAAGTCAAACTGATATTTTGCGAGCATGATTTTGGATCGTATTAACACAATGTGGTTAAATTTTTTGCTGGGAAACCAGCCGCCGTCTTTTCAAAGACATAGGACAAAAAGAAGGGAATAATTCTTGTTTGTTCTCAGCCGATCAATTATCTCAACATTTTCGTCACATGTTTGTTTGTTGTCTTTTTCTTTGAAACAAATTAAAATAGAAGGTTGACTCAATTCACTGTATCAATCAAAAAATGAAAAATAGTGTTTTGAAAAAATATTTTACCGCTCAATTTTTATTCGTTAGAGCTGTTCTAGTAGTTGTAACATCCCCCCAAAGAGCAAAATGAGTTTGAATCTATAGACCCAAAAATTTTTTCCTCGGGATACTGCTTTTTCCTGGTATTCTATACTATAATTTTAAACAATAAATTCGTTTACGAATCAGGTGCATTAAATAAAATAATTATTATAATTTCAAAATCATCTCCGAAAAAGGAAAAAAGTTACAGGGCTATTAGGCGTTGGTTGTTTGATGATTATTTTGAGTATTTCTGGTCTGATGAGTGAACTAGATGATTCTAAGAAATTTCGGCTCAACCGTACAAGCCCCTACCCTAATCGATTTTGGAGGGATAAAATACAGGTTTTTCAAAAATCAATTTTCAGGGCAAACTAAATTGATGTAAGTAACCAAAAAAATTAATTCAAAATGAACCATGAATTAAAATTTGGATAACTAACAGTATATGATACGCATTCCTTTGTTTGAAACGAATAATCTACGTGAAATCAACTTTCATATTAATACGTGGCTAGGGGGAGATTCTACGGTAGGTCACTTAGGGGCGGGGGGAGATTGTACGGTTGATCCGAAACTTCTTAAGATGCCATTTGTCCGACTGATGCATAGGAAATCGATGAGCAATTAAACAGATAACAAAATTAATCTAGTGTGCTAGCCAAGCGGTTCAGCCGCATTAAATTTAGAGCTAAAAAAAGAAAAATAACAACAGCAAGAGGGCTTGAGTCACGCAAATGTCTAGATTTACCCATCATCCGTAATGTACGTTAAAGCTTTTGGACCAAGTGAACAATCTCCTCCTAAGTCAGTTTTGGGAGGAGATACTTAACTTGGTTAAAAGTAAACAATTTTCAGCCAATCAGGTTTGAGCATAGTGCTTGCAGTCCTTAGTGCTTGAACCTCCATTTAACTTTAGGGAAGAAAATGTTCACTTGGTTTATTAAGGAGAGAGATTGCTCACTTGGGCCAAGCTTTTGGTTAAAAACGACAAAAACTTCGGACAAAAACAAAACTTTTTTAAAATTTTGTGTCAATTTCAATTATTCAAATACATTATGAAGGTACACTTCCAAATTAGACTCACATTACAAAATCCTATCAAGGAAAAAGTGTCAGCGAAAACAGCAAGACCGCTAGTATAACGGTAAAACTGCTTAAATATGCTTAATTTGGTTTACCTTTGTCAATTTTTTTTGGTTAAACAACAATAAAGATTCAAATTGAGATTAATTACTTGGGCAAATTTCCTTGTTTTTTACAAATCGGGGCCGTATTTTTGCGCGTAGAGTTTTTATGTACAAACATTGAAGCTAAAAATAATCATTTTGAATTGAATTTGAAGTTATTGATAAAAAAAACTTGTTTTCATGAGTGTAAACAAATCAGCTAAAGTATAAGCCAACCGAAAAAACACAGTTTCGATACCAGCCAAAAATTTTTGTCGAATGAAAGAAACTTGCATAGCTTTCGTAACCTTTGATGCATAAATTTTATATTACTTTTATAGAGCAATTACGTATTTTTGACTGGTTTATACATCGGATAAATGGTTCATACATTGGGGGGGGGGGGATTTTCAAAAAAACTTTGCGAATTTTGTCGACCTTTTTTTCTAAGGTCGACCATAATTGATTTACTGGGCTCTCTCAAATCATAATGAAGGCCCCATTATGACCAAATGTTCTGCGCTGCAGGCAAATTAAAAAAAAAAACAGGCCAAAAATGGCGTTTTAGGCATTTTTGGAAAATTTTAACAAAAAATGGTGCTTTTTCGGCACGCGTTACCTCCTCAAAATTAGTATATTTTGGCGCCAAAGGCGCTTTAAGAAAAATTTAAATGTCTGTCAGCCAAAAATGGATATCTCAAAATAATACAAAGGGTACCCTCTTGGTCGGCAGGGGGTCGAATCCCTGAGGGGGGGGGGCGTCCGCCTGATTGGAATACAACAATAAGGGGGGGGGGGGGTAGTTAACGAGGTCCGACAGGGGGGGGGGGATAGTTAACAAGACCCTATTTAATTTTTTTTCAGTTTTTCAATTTCGTGTTACGATTTTTATGCTAGTCGATACGAGTTTCAGTTTTAAATTTTTCATGCTAGTCGAGTTTATGCTATTCCAGTTTCTAACGATCTATTAGCGAATGCCTTATCACGTAGATGCGCGCCTCTTGCGAGCATGATTGGCAACGCAGTATTGGACAAATTCTAATAAAGAGAGTTTCAAAGCCATTCAAATGTACAAATTGTGATAGTTCTGAGTGAAAGCTGTAACATTTCTTACTCGTTTTAAGAAACTTGATAATTTTTTCGAAGTATCGGACTTGTCGTTTTTCTACTTCTTCCGCCTAAATTTCCAGTTTCTGCAATTTTGTAGTATGCTCTGTATAAAGAGCAAAACACTGATTGCACTGATTCATTTTGTGAATACAATTGCGATTGTTTTAACCGTAGCTAATCAACTTGAAGCAAAATAGTTTCAATTCATGACGTTAAAATTTCGATTTGTTGGTGGAATAAGTAAAGAGACCCCAGAATTGCTCTAGATAGCAAACTATGCAGCATATATTTTGTCATTAAGGAATAGCATATAACCAAGTTGCATGAAAAACTGATGCATTCTAAAAAATTTGACCGTTTGAAAAAAAAAACTGAATTGGTTTCAAGGTCAAAAATTTATCCAAAAACTGGGAGTTTTTAAGTACAGTTTCATCGACAACAATGAGAAAAACATTTAGTTCAAAGTCAAATCTAAAATCGTGGGCTTATCCTTGGAGATTTTTCTACAGTTTCGGTCGTAAGCAACAAACTTGAGACAAAATCAAAAGTATATCACTTGAAAGCAACCGAAGTTGTGATTTCAGGCGCATGGAAACTGCAAGTAAATAACTAAAAAAATAAACTACTAGTTTTTAAAAATATTCAGAAGGAGCTTTTGTGACCTCAGTTAACGCAAAATTTTCCAAGCAGCTTTTGTCCTGATTACTTTCTGTATAATGTCAACCTAATTTGAGAAAAAGGCGTATAAATTTTCCAATTTTGCGAGGTTTGTTCTGATCCTTCAAATCATCACTCTTTTTTGTTAAATTAGACCAGCTTCCAAAACCAGGTCAAGATTTTTAAAATGAAGGCGAAACCTTTCTAACCTGTGTGACAAATTCTTCGTTTGTCATAGAAGAGTCAAATCCCTTCACATCAATCAGGCCTGGAAACTCATACGCAATAGGGTATCCATCTTTGTGGATACTCATACGCAATAGGGTATCCATCTTTGAAAGCAACCGAAGTTGGCCAAACCTTTTTCTGTTGTTTTAAACTGAAATCTAGACAATCAGTTAAGAACATAAATGTTTTGTTGAAAAAAAACCTCATCTTTTTTTCTCTCAGAAATTGAGTGTATTTTTATTTGACAAGAGTTGATGAAACCAATTGAGTCCCGTTCAGAGATTAATTTATAGCTAATTTTCGCTTTTCAGCTTTCGACAGTTTTTAACATGCTTGTAAAAAGTATATGATTACAAACTTTGTATATAAAATATTTGTAAAATATGGATTTTCACAACTACTTTCTAAATAAATTTAAAAAATAATTCAGCGTCTTTTTAATGCTTTTGGAG